ACATGACGTCACGGCGGCCATATTGGTGTTTCAAAACAATGAAATGGCGGCCATGTTGGTGTTCCAAACCAATCCTGTGGGGTTGAACTTTATTCTTATGTAAAAGCTTTCTCTTTTTCCGAGAAATTTGCATAGATGCTGGCCACATGAGTGAAAACGCTCTATTGAAAACTCGCCCCAGTTTACTATCGAGAATACGAAAACGGTCTTTCGTTCCTTTTCATGCTGGTTTCATACAATCTTCGATTGGAGTCACTGCATTTTGTGTGCATATTTTGAATGCCAAGAGTATTGACTTTGATTTGCTTGTTCAACACCCGAATCGCTCCAATACATCACCTGTAACATTCGCCGGGGCAAACATAACTCGATACGGCTCTCTCCCAACTCCACAGAGGCCTCTTTGTGTTGTAGGGAGGCTGGGGAGAGGGAAAAAGAAAGCGCGCGGGCCACGACGGCAAGGGGAAAGAGACGACAGAGGCCTCTGCCATATAACTCTCTGGCAGGATTTGCGGTTCTCTGTTAATGGCGGAACCAGGCGAAGATTTAAAGGATTTTGAGTGTTCTTTTAAAAAAAAACTGAGTATTTCCTTCTTTCCATCGTCCCACGCACCCTTGCTATTTCTTTTTTGATTTCTGTTTTTTTTTCATTGGGATACGCGGCCGTAGCTTCTGCGGAGAAGAGAGTCGATACAGTACTATTACAATGCCTTTGAGCCACGATGTGACTAAATAATGTAATGTAAAAACGAGCGTCCAGGCCATAATTTTATGCCAGTTAATGCTCTCCCACTCTTGTGAGTGGCCTATTACTTTAGGAATACCACTAGTGACTTGATGTTTCTTAGCATAGCTACCGAGCTTTTATGGCCAGACTGTATGCAAAATAAAACAAGTTAAATATTATTTGGTGTAAAGTTTGATTTTTTTTTTAAAAAAAATTATACGTGCACTCTTGTCGAAGACCGCTCAATGTCTTCACCTTTAAGACCAAGTAAGCTTGTACCGTAAAATGAAGTACTATACAGCTGACTATAGTATATTTGTACGTCGCTGAACTCGGCGCATCGACTGGCTGAGTTAAGCAGCTGTAGGAAGCCATTTTTCACTTCTATTGCCTAGTTGAAAGTGTACGTGCATATCCGATCCTCCCAGTAAAATGAACTGAGTTGCATGTTATTGCCCATAGTATTAGATAACCAGAAATCTGAAAAATTATCTCATCGATAGTCGTTCTGTCACTTAAGTTTTAAGTTTTCTGCACACTTTGTACTCAAGTAAGTAATTAGTACTAGCTTAAGGAAGTCGATTAATATAAGCTTCCCGTTTCTTTAGGCTTCCTTGTCACATTAACTTATATTTTAAAGGCTAGAGCTTCTGTTTCGCGAACTCCTTTTTTATGTGCGAAGCAGAAGCTCTATCCTGTATGGTTTTCGTGCCGGCACTAAAGCTTCCCCGTATAATGTGAAAATAGTCTTATAAGCTTGGCTTTGGTAAGGATGAAAATACTTTCCTGCTGAAAACTATGTGATTGTGATTGGACGATAGATTACAAATCTTTCTTGATTTGTTAGTGTTCTGTACATTGTTTACTAACAAGCGGGATTTTTACGCAGGTGGATTCACCCTGATATAAAAGTGGGCGGATAAACAACGCTTTGAAAACTGCTTTGTTTAGAAGAGAGCAAACGACTCTGAACGCTGAGAGCCGTTTGTCGACTTGGGGAAGCATTTTTGTTAGTTGAAGTGGCAGGTAAGATATTCTCTACGCTACGTGAAAAGTGAAGTGTTTGCCTTGATTGGAAAATATATATTAGTATGAAATTGAATACATCATCTACTTCAACCACTGGTTTTAAATATATACAAACGCACATTTTTCCTCTAAAATCGTTCCAAGTGATTCATTTTAAGTATCGATTTTCAAGAACGGTCAAACTTTTGATATCAGTCTGTTGCTAGAAAATGATATAATGGCTTAAAAAAGCGATACCAAATCAAAACTTCACGTAGAAGTTACGAAAAACGACAAACTAAACGTAGGTTTTACTTTTGAAATCAGTTTTTTTGTTATAACATCAGACTGCGAGCAATTCCTCTTTAAATAATTTACTGAGTCAGTCAAGTCGAAGCTGTACTGTAAATGAGAGGAAAATCCGGTTTTAACCCTAAATATGGGGGCGTTTCGGTGAGTAAAATACAGTCCTATTTTTGAGTCTAATTTGGCTCCCTTAAAACAGGGCCAATACAGTCCAATTAGCTAAGGCCGATTCGGTCCCAAGGGCTGAAATGGGCCCCAGCATGGGCTTGAATAGCCTTCTGATTAAGCTTTTTTGGCCTAAATTGTTCTCAAATCGCTCCAGGAGAGGGTGAATCAGACTTTGGCCTGCAGGGCTGAATTGACACTTTGGGGCTGAAACAGATCTTTTTAATTTTCAGTGTGGTATATACGTTTTTTGCATTAAGGCTTTTGTGTATCAGGCAAGAGAGAACATTTTGTTCCATATTTTCTTGTACATACATGTCAAGTATTAAAATTGACTATATTTGACAGTATAGCACTTTCTGTGAAGCACTCAGGCATTGCACATCACTGTTACAAAACCACGCACAGAAAAAAAAACCTTCAAAATAAGCTAGGATAATCTTACGAAGTGAATATTCAGTTTAATTTTAGTTTGCTGGGCCACTTTATTTTAAATTAGTACCAAGAGAGAATGAGCTCATTCTCTCTTGTTGGTACCTTGAAATGGCGGATCCAGGGGAGGGGCCGGTGGACCCGGGCTCCCCCCTTATTTTTAGAGGGCCGAAAAAAATTTTTTTGAGACCGGGCCCCCTCCCCTCTTATCTCAGTGTCTGGATGACCGGCCCCCCTCCCCCCCCTTTATCTGACGGTCTGGATCCGCCAATGCCTTGCTTTTTTTTCTTGTCAAAGCTGTCCATGCGACGTAGTCATTCATTTTAGATATTTTTGCAAAAAAATATTTATCAGTCCTTCTTTCTAATCGTCTGCAGATTCAAAAAAAGCCCCATTTATTTCACGGATACAATGGTCATTTTAACTCCAACAAAATCTACAACACCTCACAGGTAAGAATAGCCTACCACGCAGACGTTTTTAGGGGATCTTAGGGACTTCATCGCGTTACTGCCCCACGAACGTGGAAAAGGTACTCATGAAGGAGGCCCTAAGACCGCGTGCGTGGGTGGGTAAAGGTACTGTAAAACGGGCAACAAAAACGTGCAACTTGTTTTGCAGCATTGCATCAAAACGAGTTAAAAAGCGATGTTGCGCGTTTTACCACCCACATGCAGCAAATCAGCTTGTTGCAGGTTGCGAAAACTTGTTGCAGAAAGTAGAGAGTTGTTCTACTTTTTGCAACAAAACCTGTACATGTTGCGCGTTTTACTGGCGCAGGCCAAAATTGTTTTGCAGCAAGTGACGTAACTCCCGTGTTGCCCTTGTTACCGTACCTTTAGGTAAGAATTATTTTAAACTCTTCTAAATACTAAACTGAAAATAAAAACTGAAAACATAACAGCCTTGGGTATTCCTTAGATTAAAAACAAAGCACAAAGTGTAATGATAAGGATGCAAGGAAAATGTATAGTTTCGGTTAAACTTGACGTTTAAACCGCCTTCGTAAAGGAGACCCCGTTGTTGGTTAAAATAGATAGGTATTGTGTCGTGGTGCTGGTATAATTTAACAGTGTCTTTTCGATCTCTTTCGACCAGCAAATTCTAGAATAGTCTTTTTCTAGAAACTTGAATCCCGGAATCTTAAAAAGGTCTTGCACTAGGGAGTTTGCCAGCCGGGAATTAGAACTTTTTGGATGGCGTCTTCCACATTTACTTAGCTGGGTTAGCTTTTTGTTATTCTGAGTAAAGGTAAGGTAAAAAGAGGCCCAAACGGCCGGAGCTTAGCCCCGATTCCTTAACATGAAATATGCCTAGGAGTATTGCTACTCCCCCCTGGACAAGATGCTACTACATCGCAGGGTTACCCACCAGCAGTATGTCGCCGGAAGAGAGACAACGTCCTTGTATATAAGGGAACAACGCGACGGGCGAGGCTTGAATCCAGGGCCTCCAGATGCGGAGTGCGAGCTGTTAACCGCTGGACCACACACTTCTCCATGTTATTCTGAGTAACAGTTACTTATTTGTACCCGGCAAACTTTCTCATTTCTCTAACCTGCTTGAGATGACCAAATTTGAGGGATGTTTGTAGTTATTTCAGTACTGACGTCAGTCGCTAACGTCAATGATGGAATATAGAAAATTGTCCACGAATGACGTTAAGTAAGACAGCGGCGCAGCAGGTTAGTTGTTTTGCAAGAATGAAAGCGAAGACGAAAGAGCCAAAAGACCAGCAAATAAGGGGAGCAGGAATACGCAAAAATACCATTCACTGGATGTCAACTGCTTTTTGAAAAATATCTTAAAGAAAAAAAATCCGTGCATTTTCTTTAACGCTGATGACCCGTGGACAATGTTGTGAAGAAGCTAAGGTCTACGTGGAGGTATTGTAATGATGTTTTGAGTTGAAAGGCTCGTCTTATACCCTCAGGGATCTGCATAGTTCTTCATGTTAAAAGAAAGCTGTATTCAATAATTATTTATTAATTATTTTTCATATGTGAGTTGTAAATGTGTTGTAGTAATAAGGCGCATTTGTATTGAACGGTCGACCTCGAGTTCTGGAAGGCAAAGTTGAATTTCAATTCATCGAAATTATTTGAAAAAATGACACATGTATGACATTTTCAGGTGTACTCTGCCGTCCGCGCATAATAACTGGTCACCATGGGCGTGGGACTGGTGGCTTACTCAGCCAAAACATGACGTCATCAAAGAAGAAACAGAGCGTGAAGGAAAACAAACCGCTGACAACAAACAGCAGACACCACCGGCTGATCAAGGGACAAAGGAGACAAAGATTGATTGAGATATGAACAATATTTGCTGAATTTTTGTTCACGTGCATTTCTATTAGTTTTTAAGAATTCAGAAACACATGGTTCACCACCTTTACAAACTGACCGATGCATTAACAAGACATTTAAACGAAAAAAACTTTAAACTTCGAAAATAAACGGCTCTTTTTGCTGGTGGGTAGCTAGTAATTATATGTAAATAACAGGGTCGTAACATGGTATATGGGCTCAGGGCTCAAAGCCCAAAATATGACTGGGATCAGGGCTCAAAGGAAAGGGCTCAGGGCTCAGAAGAATGGGATCAGGGATCACAAGGCTTTTGAGGCCGAATCAGGGATCAGGTCTATTACACGGTCTAAAAATCTCTTATCACAATATTTTTTCCGCTTAAATAATAAGGTTTGTGTCCACAGTATTTCCTGGCCGAGGTACATTACCTATTCTTGCTTCCGGCTGGCGGCAGTTCCTGTCATACGAAGTCCTGGTTGTTTGACGAAAACATGGTATCATATTCTTAATTTATTTATTGTTAAGGGCACCGTAATATGAATCTCAAGTCACTTTTCTCGCTTTGTAACGCAACTCCTCAACGCGCTGTCAACGCCAGAAGGCAGAGAAAGCGATTTATACATATCTTTTTTTTGCGAGAAATGGGGAAGAAAAAGGACAAAAAGAAATCCTGTGACAGAGAAAGGTACGTAAGTACTTCCTTGACTGATTTACTCCTGGCAAGGGTCCAAGCATAGAGTTTTCCGGCCGATCAAAACATAACAATACCGCCAGGACAATAGACAAACCGATTCATTGAAAGTGGAATTTACTGTATAGGTCCCGATTGCCTCATCGCCGCAAGCAAGTCACAAGGCGACAATAAATCAAGGTTCGTATTTTTTGACCAGCAACTTAACTCTTAAAAGTACTTAAATAATTAGAATGGACGTCAAAAGTAGAATACAAAAGTACAATGAATTCCCGCGCTTTGTTGCAAAATAAATGCTTTCTCGCAATTTAATAAATCTGCTCTAACTGCATGGAGTTTTAGGGTCATCTCGAACTCTGATGAGAAACCGAGATCGGTTCACCTTCCAGTACTAGTATTGGGCCGGGAAAGTAAAGGACACATTCCATTACTGTATAACTGATAAACGCTTGTATGATAAATAGTCTGAAATTACAGTGTAGAATCAGTGAAAATAAGTGGAACACCAAAGATTTACCT